TAGGCCACTTCGTGTTCTCCGTTTTCGCAAAACACCATTCCCAGTCTACATTTTGAATGCTCATAGCCAACTGTAAACCACTTCGTGTTCTTCGTGTTCCCAAAACACAATTCCCAGGCAATTTTGAATGCCCGGAGCCAACTGAAGGCCACTTCGTGTTCTTCGTGTTCCCAGCACACCATTCCTGTACCATATTTTGATTGCCCGGAGCCAACTGTGGGCCACTTCGTGATCTTCGTGTTCCCAGAACACCAGTCCTGTGCCATATTTTGAATGCCCGAGCTGAGGCAGGCTGAGGCCGAGGCAGGCTGAGGCCGAGGCAGGCTGAGGCTGAGGCTGAGGCGAGGCAGGCTGAGGCTGAGGCTGAGGCTGAGGCAGGAGGCTGAGGCTGAGGCAGGCTGAGGCTGAGGCTGAGGCTGAGGCTGAGGCAGGCTGAGGCTGAGGCTGAGGCAGGCTGAGAGCTGGGGCTGATGCTGAGGCAGGCTGAGGCTGAGACAGGCTGAGGCTGAGGCTGAGGCAGGCTGAGGCTGAGGCAGGCTGAGGCTGAGGCCGAGGCAGGCTCAGGCCGAGACAGGCTGAGGCTGAGACTGAGGCTGAGGATGAGGCCGAGGCAGGCCGAAGCTGAGACTGAATGGGGGGGGGGAAGGGGGGGGGGAGGAGGGGAGGCTGAAGCATGCTGAGGCCGAGGCAGGCTGAGGCCGAGGCAGGCTGAGGCTGAGGCTGAGGCAAGTCGAGGCACGCCGAGGCTGAGGCTGAGGCTGAGGCTGAGGCTGAGGCAGGCTGAGGCTGAGGCTGACGCAGGCTGAGGCCGAGGCAGGCTGAGGCTGAGGCTGAGGCAGGCTGAGGCTGAGGCCGAGGCAGGCTGAGGCTGAGGCTGAGGCAAGCCGAGGCAGGCTGAGGCTGAGGCTGAAACTGAGGCAGGTTGAGGCATCCGTAGGAATCCATAGGAATCCTTAGGAATCCCTAGGAATCCTTAGGAATCCGTAGGCATCCTTAGGAATCCGTAGGCATAGTCCCACCAGCCCTTTGGGCGTGAGTGGTTTAGAGAGCCCGCTCTGTCCTCGACCCCCCTTCTTCCCCTTCGGGGAGGGGTTTACCCCTCCCCCTACCCCCTCCCCTGGACCTGGAGAGGGCGGGCCGAGCGTTCTCAGGGGGGTCAATTTCGACTCCTGGGAAGGTCAAAAAACGACGACCCTCACGAGGATTCTGGCCCCGACGGGGGGGGCGAGTTTGGCCCCTCTGCTCTTCTTTGAAACCAAAATCATTGATTTTACGATGGTTTTGGCCCCACGTTGGCCTTCTGAAGGGGGCCGCGCTTCTCTTCCCTCATCGCAAAATCATTGATTTTACGACGGTTTTGGGCTCATTTTGTCCTTCTCAGGGGGCAGCTCTCATTTGCGCTTCTGAGGAGGTCGCAAGAGGCCCCAAGATGGCCCCAAGAGGCCCCCAGGAGACTCCCAAGAGGCCTCCAAGAGGCACCCCAGAGGCACCCAAGCGGCCCCAAGAGGCCCCCAAGAGGCCCCCAAGAGGCCCCCAAGAGGCCCCACGAGGCCCCAAAAGGCCCCCAAGAGGCCCCCAAGATGCCCCCAAGAGGCCCCACGAGGCCCCAAGAGGCCCCCAAGAAACCCCCAAGAGGCCCCCAAGAGGCCCCCAAGAGGCCCCACGAGGCTCCAAGAGGCCCCCAAGAGGCCCCACGAGGAGCCCGAACGACTCACACCAGGACGAGGGGCCCGAACGACTCACACCACGAAGAGCCCGAACGACTCACACCACAAGGAGGGGCCCGAACGACTCACACCAGGACGAGGCGCCCGAACGACTCACACCACGAGGAGCCCGAACGACTCACACCACGACGCGGGCCCCGAACGACTCACACCACGAGGAGCCCGAACGAGTCACACCAGGAGGAGGGGCCCGAACGACTCACACCAGGATGAGGGGCCCGAACAACTCACACCACGAGAAGCCCGAACGACTCACACCAGGACGAAGAGCCCGAACGACTCACACCACGAAGAGCCCGAACGACTCACACCAGGAAGAAGGGCCCGAACGACTCACACCAGGACGAGAAACCCCAAACGACTCAAATCACGAGGAGCGCTTTCTCTCCCTCCTCCTCCGCCTCGTCCTTCTCCCGCTCCCCTCACAAGGAGGATGTACAAGGAGGCGGGAGGAAGGAGGAACAGGGGAGATATGCGGGGCCAAGCGGACACACGCCTGAATTATCCCGGCAAAGCAACCTAACATCGATGTGTAGGAGCATATCTGGAAGCATTCCCCTTAAGATTCGGATGAGAATCCAGTTGTAGAATTCTGCTGTTCTCGCAGTCGTAGTCGCATTCGCGATGACAGTCGCAGTGGCAACGGCAGTCGCAGTCACAGCCAGCCTCAGCCTGCCTCAGCCTCAGCCTCAGCCTGCCTCAGCCTCAGCCTGCCTCAGCCTCAGCCTCAGCCTGCTTCAGCCTCAGCATCAGTCTGCCTTCAGCCTCGGCCTCAGCCTCAGCCTCAGCCTGCATCAGCCTCAGCCTCAGCCTCAGCCTGCCTCAGCATCAGCCTGCCTCAGCCTCAGCCTGCCTCAGCCTCAGCCTCAGCCTGCTTCAGCCTCAGCCTCAGTCTGCCTGCCTCGGCCTCGGCCTCAGCCTGCCTCAGCCTCAGCCTGCATCAGCCTCAGCCTCAGCCTCAGCCTGCCTCAGCATCAGCCTGCCTCAGCCTCAGCCTCAGCCTGCCTCAGCCTCAGCCTCAGCCTGCTTCAGCCTCAGCCTCAGTCTGCCTTCAGCCTCGGCCTCAGCCTCAGCCTGCCTCAGCCTCAGCCTGCCTCAGCCTCAGCCTCAGCCTCAGCCTCCTCAGCCTCAGCCTCAGCCTGCTTCAGCCTCAGCCTCAGTCTGCCTTCAGCCTCCGCCTCAGCCTCAGCCTGCCGCAGCCTCAGCCTGCATCAGCCTCAGCCTTAGCCTCAGCCTGCCTCAGCCTCAGCCTGCCTCATCAGCCTCAGCCTCAGCCTGCCTCAGCCTCAGCCTCAGCCTGCTTCAGCCTCAGCCTCAGTCTGCCTTCAGCCTCGGCCTCAGCCTCAGCCTGCCTCAGCCTCAGCCTGCATCAGCCTCAGCCTCAGCCTCAGCCTGCCTCAGCCTCAGCCTGCCTCAGCCTCAGCCTCAGCCTGCCTCAGCCTCAGCCTCAGCCTGCTTCAGCCTCAGCCTCAGTCTGCCTTCAGCCTCGGCCTCAGCCTCAGCCTGCCTCAGCCTCAGCCTGCATCAGCCTCAGCCTCAGCCTCAGCCTGCCTCAGCATCAGCCTGCCTCAGCCTCAGCCTCAGCCTCAGCCAGCCTGCCTCAGCCTCAGCCTCAGCCTGCCTGCCTCAGCCTCAGCCTGCTTCAGCCTCAGCCTCAGTCTGCCTTCAGCCTCGGCCTCAGCCTCAGCCTGCCTCAGCCTCAGCCTGCATCAGCCTCAGCCTCAGCCTCAGCCTGCCTCAGCATCAGCCTGCCTCAGCCTCAGCCTCAGCCTGCCTCAGCCTCAGCCTCAGCCTGCTTCAGCCTCAGCCTCAGTCTGCCTTCAGCCTCGGCCTCAGCCTCAGCCTGCCTCAGCCTCAGCCTGCATCAGCCTCAGCCTCAGCCTCAGCCTGCCTCAGCATCAGCCTGCCTCAGCCTCAGCCTCAGCCTCAGCCTCAGCCTCAGCCTCAGCCTCAGCCTCAGCCTCAGCCTGCTTCAGCCAAAGCCTCAGTCTGCCTTGAGCCTTGGCCTCAGCCTCAGCCTCAGCCTGCCTCAGCCTCAGCCTGCATCAGCCTCAGCCTCAGCCTCAGCCTGCCTCAGCATCAGCCTGCCTCAGCCTCAGCCTGCCTCTGCCTCAGCCTCAGCCTGCTTCAGCCTCAGCCTCAGTCTGCCTTCAGCCTCGGCCTCAGCCTCAGCCTGCCTCAGCCTCAGCCTGCCTCAGCCTCAGCCTCAGCCTGCCTCAGCATTCAAAATGTGGCCCGGGAATGGAATTCTGGGAACTCGAAGAACACGAAGTGGCCTACAGTTGGCTCCGGGCATTTAAAATCATGCCCAGGAATGGAATTCTGGGAACTCGAAGATCACGAAGTGGCCTACAGTTGGCTCGTGGCATTCAAAATGTGGCCCGGGAATGGAGTTCTGGGAACTCGAAGAGCACGAAGTGGCCTACAGTTGGCTCCAGGCATCCAAAATGTGGCCCGGGAATGGAATTCTGGGAAGCCGAGAGCACGAAGTGGCCTACAGTTGGCTCGGGGCATCCAAAATGTGGCCCGGGAATGGAGTTCTGGGAAGTCGAAGAGCACGAAGTGGCCTACAGTTGGCTCCGGGCATTCAGAATGTGGCCCGGGAATGGAGTTCTGGGAGGTCGAAGAGCACGAAGTGTGTGACTGTATGCGAAAAACGATCCCCCCCGGCAAACCCCAACGGCCCCCCAACGGCTCCCCAACGGCTGCCCAGACCCCCCTGTGGAGTAATGTGCTGCTCTCTTTTTATACCACTAGAAACCTATCAGTCTTCGCTGTTAGGTAAAAACACGACTGTCGGCATGCTTCGCGAGAGTTGCTGCTGTGAGATGGGCTGGTGGGGATACGCGAAGCGTAAAGAATTAAGCATTCTCAGGAATCCTTAGGAATCCTTAGGATTCCATTGGATCCTAAGGCCGTTGCCACTGCGACTGTCATTGCGAATGCGACTGCGACTGCGAGAACAGCAGAATTCTACAACTGGATTCTCACCTGAATCTTAAGGGGAATGCTTCCAGATATGCTTATACACATCGAAGTTAGGTTGCATTGCTGGGATAATTTGGATATTCCCCCTGTAGAGGGACAGGCCCGACTTACAGGTACGCTTGGGGAACCAGGGAGATGGGAAAGGAGAGAGGGATGGGCAATGAGAAGGGGGAGGGGGACGATGAGATGGATGATGAAGAGGAGGAGCATCAGGATAATTACGATGATGACCAGGGGATCAGGGGGGAAGATGAGGACAGGCTTTTCACATTCTAAATATGTGAACCGTTCCCTCCCCTGGCTCCCTCCATCGTTGTAAGAGGACGGGGGCTCTGGACTGCGAGAGGCAGGATAGCGCCATGGGCGCGCGGTCTACTTTTGGCAAGCCGCTCGCGCCTGGGAAACGGCAAGTGCCAGACCAAGTCTCTCCCTCCCACCCTCCCTCCCTCTCCGTCTGCCTTCTCCGCCTTCCCTCCCCCTTCCCTTCTCCACAAGCGCTCCTCCCCTCCCACCCCCTTCCTGCCCCATGTCCGCGTCCTCACCGGTGCTCTTCGCCCAGTTGTGCCCCACGCAAGCCGGCACTCCATCTCTCTCTCTCTCTCTCTCGCGCCCTCCTTCCGCTCTGCGCCCCATCCTCAGCCGCCGCACATGCCGCTCACTCAGGTCGAGCTGAGGAAGATCGCCTGGAGCGCCCGTTACGCATGCAGCTCGGAGGCCGCTGCAGCCTCCAAAGCGGGGATCATCTGCTTCTTGCGCGAGAGCACGCCGGGAAGCAGAACGGTGCCGTTCTTGGCGAGCGTCGTCTTCCATGCCCTCTCGACCAGCTTTGCCGCGCTCGGCCTGCACGACACAAACGTTGCCTCCTCCCTGAGGATGTCCACCACGAAGAGGAGCATGTCGTCCAGCGCTTCCTCCTTGATCTGGTCGAGCTGGGCCGCCACCATCTCGGCCTTCTTCTTCAGCGGCATTGCGGGCTTCGTTGTCTCCAGGACGGAGACACGCAGCTTCTGGCCGCCGATCTTGAACACCTTCGTGTCCATCATGACCAGCTCCCTCGGGGAGAGGTGGTCGATCTGCGCCTTCGCCTCGAGCATGCCCTCGGCGAACTCGTGCACGTCGAGGCCGGCGAGCTCGCCCAACTCCTTCGCGTAGACCCTGTCGGTCTCGGTGGTGGTGGGCGACCGGAACTCCAGGGAATCGGACAGCAGCCCCGCCAGCATCAAGCCGGCGATGTGCTTGGGCGGGGTCAGGCCAGCTGCCTTGGCCCGCGCGTACAGGATGCTGCCCGCGGAGCACAGCGGGCGCATGTCAACCTCTGGAACTGTATAGACATCGGCATGAGTCATGAGCAGGCAGGGAGGCTGGACGCACGCATGGCGGACCCTGGAAACCCTGAACCTCCAAGCGCTGCCATTCCTTGCAGGACGGGTCTTTGCTTCCGCCAGCGTCCGCCAGCGGAGGCGGCCTCGTCTTAGCTCCGCCGTCTCCCGCCGAGGAGGACAAGGCAACCTCTCGATCCCTCGAAGGCGAGACCCTCTCTGGACCGCCGCTTATGGGTGGATCCAGGCGCGGAACATCTGGAGTCCACGTGCTGACCACACGTGCCGAGGAGCAGCGGTGCCTGACCACAGACGCCCCGAGCGCCGGAAGGCATGCGCCCACATGTCGGGGGCGGCCAAGAGGGGGGCGTCCAAGAAGGGGGTGGGGGGCAAATCATGGCCGGCGGCACGTGCGCGGCCCAGGGAGGGGGGGGGGGGGGGGGGGCGTGACGAAACAAGAAGAGGCGCCATGATCATCTGGGGAGATGTCCCCCCCCCCCCCCGCCCTAGTCATCACCCCCCTCTTGGCCGCCCCCGATCCCCTTCGACGGCGATCCTGACGCGCCCCGCCTGGCCGTCCTCTGCCTCGACGGCACGGCCCTCCCGCTGCCCCCCCGCTGCCCGAGGCGCACCGTCTCTTCACAGAGCCCGAGGCCGCCCGCGCGCCCCTCGCCCGTCGACCCCTGGCGCCCGGGCCTCCTCGCCTCTTGAGCCGGGGCAGTCCTTTCCGGCATCCCTCCAGGCCTACCACGACATGTTCCCAGAACCCCAGAAACGCTCTAAGAACAGAACACGGCTCTCAGAACGCAAGCCCGAGGTGTTACAACGAGGCAGCCCCAGCCAGAACCGTCGACTCCTGACGGCCGGGCCTCCTCCTTTCGAGCAGGGGCCGTCCGTCCCGGCATTCCTCTAGGCCTACCACGACATGTTTTTAGAACCCCAGAAACGTTCTGAGAACAGAACACGGCTCTCAACGCAAGCCCGAGGTGTTACAACGAGGCAGCCCCAGCCAGCAATGCTCTCTGAAAACAGTGCGTGACCAAAAAAAGGTTCTCAGAACAGTCCCTGGTGGGCCTATGGGCGAGTCAGGGCGCTTCGCCACTGCTGGATCCTTCGCTCTCCTCCGCGGCCGCCCCCTGCTTTTCCGCTCGCTCCGTGCGCCCCTCGCCCGGCGCGCTCCGCTGGTGAAGACCCTGGCGCCTGCGTCCGCTGGCGCTGGCGATTCACGGATGTCAGCTTCGTGGCAGGAGAAAAAAAACACGTTCGGACGTTCGCGGGGATTTTTGGGATCGGAGCTGGGCCTCCATCCCTGGCGCGCGGAGCGAGCAAGGGGCGGCGTCGTGGGCGCCATTTCGGTTCCGATGCTGGTGTTAGGTCGGGCATGTACCCCTACAGGTGGATTCTGAGCGAAAAAAATTAAATACGCTCCAAATGATCAAACATATATTAGCACAAATCGTCCCCCGACAATTTTTCTGCTATTTGTGAAGATTCCTCCTGTAGAGGGACAGGCCCGACTTAATGCTGGCGTCGCTGAGGACGTCTCTGGGGAGGAGGAGGAGGAGGAGGAGGAGGAGGAGGAGGAGGAGGAGGAGGAGAAGGAAGAGGAAGAGGAAGAGAAGGAAGAGGAAGAGGAAGAGGAGGAGGAGGAAGAGGAGGTGGAGGAGGAGGAGGAGGAGGAGGAGGATACGGAGGCGGAGGAGGAGGGAGGAGGACGATCCCGAGTCGTGTCGCCGAGGACGTCGCTCCTGGCGCGCCCCCCGCGTGCCGGGGACGGGGGCTCGGCATCGACCCAGGGGAGCCGTGCGGCCCTCTGCACGTGTATGCTGACTGAGCATCGTTTCACCGATCCCCATCCCCAGCGGCGTGGCCTGGGCCCCACTGGCCGATTTACCCCCCTAGATGGGGATATCCGCCGATCCGGCGTGTGAGTTTCTGAGAGCGTGGACTTGAGCTCGCTCAAGCTTCGCTCTGCAGGGGGGGGGGGGGGGGCGTTTGTTATTTCCGAAGTCATTTCCGACGTTTTTCGGTACCCGGGGACAGGGAGGTATAGAAAACTCCAATTCTGGAGCCCAGACCCCCCCAGGATCGGCGGCACGGGCCGGAGGCCAGCCCAATAGGCCGTTCCCTTCGGGTTTCGAGGGGTGTATCCCCAACTGGGGGGATAACTTGGTGGGGGTCCCGAAAGGGATGGGGATGGGGATGGGTGTCGGTTAAACGATACCGACTGATGCTGACTTTCGTCCTCTTGCTGCTGCATCTCGTCGAGGGAGCGCAAACATGGATTAGCGATCCATGGATTTGGCGCGCGGTCGCCAAATCCATGGATCGGGGGAGGTGCCCTCCCCGAAATGAGGCTGGTGCCGCCTCGGCCAGCGGCGGGAATCCGCGATTTCCCATGGAAGCGGGACCCGCCGCTAATCCACGCCCCCTTGATCCATGTTTGCGATCGCCTGACTCAAGCTGCTCGTCCTCTTGGCATCTCGTCCCACTACCAGCGTCCCCCCTCTGTCCTCCTTCTCTAAGGACCCAAGAGCGTTACGGGGGAAACGGCTCATCGGGAGAAACGTGGACCTGGAAACGGCGATACATCGCCGATGGATCGTCGATCAATTCTCGATGGCGAAACCGCACGTTCCCGGGCGGGATGGGCTATCGCGATCAATGGGCCATTGGGGGACGATGCGTCCCCCCCTGAGCCCATCCCCCCCGAGCGTTGCCCATGATATCAGCGCCCCCCCCTATCCTCCTTCTCGAACCTCCAGGGGCTCTGCGCTCTCGAGGCCGCTGAGCTTGTGGTGGTCAACGATGGAATGAATGGATGCCGTCTCGATGCCCTCCGGCAGCTCAGCGGGGTTGTTCGTGTCCACGAGCGCGACCGCCTGCTTCTTCGCGAGCGGCTCCGTCAGCAGCGGCGGCGTCTCTGGGGGAGCAACGATCGGCATTTCCACAAACTTCTGGAGGTCCGCGCGGACTACTTGGGTTGAGGGAGGAGCAGAAATGATAACAATGACACGCCGTCCTGCGCGATATTTGATACTGCTGAAGAAGCTGCAAAAACTCGGGCAACAACGATGGAATTACACTCTGACGTGCTTCCGACGGCACCGTGTCATTGAGACTCTTTTCCCCTCCCGGGTTGGCGCTGCCCCCCCCCCCTCCCCCCCTCTGCCCACACCCCTCCCCCGCACGGAGCGCGCTGCGGGATCCAGCGACGGTGATGACATCCGCGCGGATATCCGAAAGACTTGCGCTCTGACCATTGCTTGTCTTCTGGCCTGCATGCGCATCTTCTTGAGCACGAACGCTGTCTCGGGATTGTCGGCGGCGCGGCCAAGGTGGAAGGCAGAGGGGGAGGGCCTCATGCGAAGGCTCAAAATGCATCTGGCCTTCTGTGGGGCTTTCTGAGCCTCTAGAGGGCCTGTCAGAAGGCTGGAGGGCTTGTGAGAAGCGCCGCCGCCTTCTGAGAAGGGCTCCTCGCACTTCCCCCCTCGGCGCGCAGCCGAGATTGAGCTCTCCGAGCACGTAGGGCCTCGCGGGGATGTTGCGCTGGACCAGCTCCCAGGCGTACACGATGGCCGAGATGGTGGTGTCGGTGTCGGGCACCTTGTGTCCGAAGACCGAGAGGATAGATGGCCCTGCTGCCTCGGAATGGGGAGGAGGAGGAGGGGTGGGGGTGGAGGGGGGGGAGGAGGACGAAGATGCCTAGGTGGCCAGGAGGGCCAGGAGGACCAGCAGGAGGAGGAGGAGGCAGACAAAGGGAGGAAACGAACTAGGACAGGAGGGGCCCCGCCTGCGCGATCACGGGCACCAGGGCCAGTACGCGCAGGCACGCGGCGGCCATCCCGGGTCGGAGGAGGACGGGAGGAGGAGGAGGAGGGGAAGGATGAGGAGGAGAAGGAGGAGGAGGGGGAGGAGGAGGAGGATGAGGAGGAGGAGAAAGAGGAAGAAGGAGAAGGAGGAGGAGGAGGATAAAGAGGAAGGAGGCGGAGGAAGAGGAGGAGGAGGAGGAGGAGGAGGAGAAGGGAGGACGAGGAGGAGGAGGAAGAGGAGGAGGAGGAGGAGGGGGAGGAGGATGAGGAGGATGAGGAGGAGGAGGACGAGGAGGAGACAAGATAATCAGGAGGACGACAAGGACGATACTGCGGATGATACGATAGTGATGCTGACGATGCTGCTGCTGCTTGTGGTGGTGGTAACGGTTATTAGTTATGATGATGATGGTGACAATGCTGATTGTGGTGATCATGCTGATGCTAATGATAATGCTGATGCTGTTGAATGTGATGATGGTATTGGTGATGATGATGATGATGCTGATGATGATTATGATGATGACGATGGTGATGATGATGGTAACGGTGGATGTTGTTAATGCTGAGGTTGGTGTTGATATTGGTGTTGATGTTGATGCTGTTGCTGATGAGGATGATGATGGTGGTGATGATGATGCTGCTGTTGCTGATGATGCTGATTATGATGACGCTGATGCTGATGCTGCCGCTGGTGGTGAGAAGGCAGAGAAAGAGGAGGAGGAGGAGGAGGAGGAGGATGAGGAGGAGGAGGAACAGGAGGAGAGGAGGAGTCCGTAGTCATTCTGGCTCAAGCCATTTTGGCTCAAGGGCCATATACTGGACCCATCCCCCGCACTCGCCCGCGCCCGCCTCGCGGCGCGCCCCGCTGGCTGGCCCTTGCCTGCGGCAACCGCCGCCAGACCTCCGCAAATTCTACAATCGAAGACCTGCAGGCTGAAACCTCAAGATATACATGCCGAACCTCAAGACCTACAGACGAACCTCAAGACCTACAGGCCGAGCTTCGCGAACCACCAGTGCTACAAACTCTGGCAGACGCCATGCCGAGACCATGAGCAGCGGCAGCTCTCAAGCGGATGGGGTACTGTGTACGGCACGGGCTCCAAACAGACCCAGAGGACATCATGATCGTCACAACTGCCGCCTACGAGAGTGTATCTGGGCACGCCAACGCCACAAAGCATATGATACGACGAGCTGCGTGCCAAGCAGCCAGGATTTGAAGGACATGGGCTGCGTGACGGGCAGCCAGGTTCTGAGGGTCCACATCGCAAGGACGACCATGACCACGGCAACTACGACCCCGAGAACGTCAAACACGACCGCGAGAACGGCAAGTACGACCGTGACCTCGAGCACGGCAACTACTACCGCGAGCACCACAAGTCTGTGCTCATAGAGGCACCCTCCCTTGGCGCAGACGGGCCCCCGGGCGATCGGAACGTGGAATTCCTGCGGCTTAGCAGCCGACGGCTCCGACCCTGGACCTCGGGGACTACGAAGAGAGCGTGTCCTCGGGGCCAGCTGGCGTGCTCCTCGGCTGCTTCCTGGCCGCCGGGGAGCCTGCGCCTCCCCTGCCGCCATGGGCACCTCCCCCTGAGGTAGACCGGGGCATCAGCCACAACAAGAGAACACTGAGATGGGATGTCCCCCACGCGGCGGCACCTCACACCTAGCCCCACGGGCTACGTCGCCAAGGATCCCCCAGTCGTCGCCACGACTGGACTCGACCGAACTCGGCTGGGAGGACCAGGGGTGCGAGTACGAGGAGGGCACCCAGGCTCCGCAGCGAGCCACAGCCAGAGTCGCCTCCGACAACGCCTGCGCCAGCAGCGTTGCCAACATCTACGACGTGGACAAGCACGTGCCCAAGGTCGTGGACAAGCACGTGGACGAGCAAGCCGTGGACAAACATGTGCCCAAGGTCCCCGTCCAAGAGATGGTCCGGCATGTGCCCAAGATCGCAGTCAGGTGCAGTAGCGGGTGATCGACGTGCCCCAGGTACAGGTCGTCGAGAAGACGTTGGAGGTGCCCAACGTGTGCGTGCAGGAAGTGGTCAAACTCGTGCCGAGGGCCCACGTCCAGATCGGCTCCGCCGTCGCCGCCAACTAGGCCAAGGAGGAGGATGGGAAGGAGTCCCTGAAGTCGGACGAGAACCTGGAGGCCAAGGAGGAGGATGAGGAGGATGAGGATGAGGAGGAAGAGGAGGTGGAGGAGGAAGAGAAGGAGAAGGAGGCCCTGGACCCCGAGGAGAACTTGGAGGTGGAGGGGGTCAGGAAGGAGATGGTGCGCGACGCGATGGGGGCCGTGAAGGGGCAGACGAACGGTGGCGACACAAGGGAGGGGAAGGAGGTCGACGAGTCTACAGACGAGGACTGGGCAGAGCTCCAGGCATCTGGCAAGGGCGGCTCCGAGCAGGACGAGGTGCCCCAGGAGGAGGACGAGGAGGAGGAGGAGGAGGACGAGGAGGACGAGGAGGTTGAGGAGGAGGAGGCGGAGAAGGATGAGGCTCGCGCAGTCGGTGACGTGCAAGGCGACACTGCTGCACTGCATCCTAGTGCACCTGCTGCTGGTCTCCACGATGCAGTGGCAACCTGCCCCGTCTCGCTGCTCATAGAGATGTCGACGGTGGAGCCGGAGTCCGCCACCACGTGTCACAGCGCCCAGGTCATGCTGCTGCACAGCGCGATGAGGGCGGTTGGGGCTGCTGGGGGAGAGGCTCCACTGCCAGGAGAAGCGCCAGGTCTGGATTGGGCGATTCACGATTGGATGCACAAGCCGATCCACTTGGCCCGGCCAAGAAAGATGGCCCGGGAATGCACATCACAGATGACTACACAGAAGACTATGCACAGCAACTTGCGTTGCAGAAGTGGTACCGCCGGAAGGAGCTGGGCGTGCTTGGCTTCTACGGGTCCGGCTCCGTCCAGATGGAGAAGGGCGACGAGACAGGCCAGGTTATGGCTTTGAAACCAGGCTCGGCTTCAGAGTAGATGTCACTCCATGACGTAAAGCCAACACTCTGGGACATAATACTGGAGACGCTCGGTAGAGCAGAGGAGGAGGAACACCAACGTTCGCGGAAGAAGAAGGTCAAGGAGCCACCGATAGCCATAGGAAACACAATCGAGGTCAAGAGGGAGAGCAGTACTACAAGGGCACCGTGCAGGACATCGACACGTCCTCTGCACAGGTACACTGGCTCGACGGCATCAGCGCCCGACTTCAGTGAGCTACACTCCGCAGACGCAATGATCAGTAACATCTCTGCGGTGAGAACGGACGACCTTAAGCTGGAGAGTACGGAATTCAACACGTTACGTGCCCAACATGGACACGGTCAACAACATCTACCGCGTCAACGCCGGAGGCACTACGTCATCATAGGCGCCATCCGCATTTTTTGAACGGAATGGCCGCTCAGCCAAGTACCCCTTCTCTCCTCCCCTTTGCTCGGTGTGTGGTAATTGGTCTTGTGCCTCCCCCCATCCCCTAGGGCTCCCCCCTTCCCCTCCCCCCCTCCCTCTTCCCCCTCCCCCTGGGGCTCCCCCCTCCCCTCCCCCATCCCCTAGGGCTCCCCCCTTCCCCAGGGGCTCCCCCCCCCTTCCCCTCCCCCCCTCGCGCCTTCACAGTTATTCAATATGAATACTACTCTCCCTCTTCCCCTGATGACGGTTTGAAGGTGTCCGACCCCCCCCGCGTACTGTTTTTTACACACAGGTTTCCCGAGAGTTGGGTGTTCGCCTGCATTTTTTTCAAAATGCTGCTCTCGCTGGGGCGCTGGCCTCATTTTCGGGCCCCGCTCGTTCCGAATCGTGCTCCCGCTGCAGCGCTGGCCTCATTTCCGTGCTTCCGCTCATTCCGAATCGTGATCCCGCTGCAGCGCTGGCCTCATTTCCGCGCTTCCGCTCGTTTCGACTCGTGCTCCCGCTGCAGCGCTGGCGTCATTTCCAGTGCCATGCCCCGGCGTGCAATGCAATGCTAGGTTGATGCTACGCTTTGCGGTGCTCTTCTACGCCATGCCACGCCGTGCTCTACAATGCATCGCGCACCCTTTCGGGATCATTGTCCTGCTCGACATCCGACTGTGCGAGTAGAGATGGGATCTGCGCCATGGTAAGGGATGGGAGGGAGGGGTAGGATGTCAGATATGACGCGAGCGCACCTAGCTTGCCCTCCCCCCCTCCCCCCTTCACCTCCCCCCATCCCCTAGGGCTCCCCCCTTCCCCTCCCCCCCTCCCCCTTCCCCTTCGCCCTGGGGCTCCCCCCTCCCCTCCCCCTTCCCCTAGGGCTCCCCCCTTCCCCAGGGGCTCCCCCCCTTCACAATTACACAATATGAATACACTCTCCTCCATCCCCGGATGGCGTGCGGAAGATAGCGGGCACCCCTCCGCGTACTGTTTTTTACACACAGGATTTCCCGAGAGTTGGGTTTTCGCTTGGGTTTTTGGTCAAAATGATACTCTCGCTGGGGCGCGGGCTTCATTTTCGGGCTTCCGCTCGTTCCGAATCGTGCTCCCGCTGCAGCGCTGACCTCATTTCCGTGCTTCCGCTCGTTCCGAATCGTGCTCCCGCTGCAGCGTTGGCCTCATTTCCGCGCTTCCGCTCGTTCCGAATCGTGCTCCCGCTGCAGCGCTGGCGTCATTTCCCGTGCCATGCCACAGCATGCAATGCAATGCTAGGTTGCGTTCCGCTGCGCGATGCCATGCCTTCAGCTGCAGCTGTCATATCCAGTGCGTAAGTGCCACGTCATGCTATGCCATGCTACGCTTTGATCTTCAACGCCATGCTATGTAATGTTATGTTCGGGGCCGCTGTGCGATGCCATGCTTTGCGTTGCAAAGCTTTGTGATGCAATTCTTCACTACGCCACGCCACGCCATGCTGTGACATACTACTCTTTGCGGTGCTCTTCTACGCCATGCCACGCCGTGCTCTACAATGCATCGCGTACCCTTTCGGGATTATTGCCCTGCCCGACATCCGACTGTGCGAATAGAGAGGGGATCTACGCCATGGTAAGGGACGGGAGGGAGGGGTAGGATGTCAGATATGACGCGAGCGCACATAGCTTG